AAGCGCAAGGGAACCGCTAATTAAGTATGCAGAGAACGATCATAAATGTACAAGTAAATTTTTCTTAGATAGTTGAAAAATGCTTGAAGTTAAAATAAATAAATTTTAAAATTAAAAATAAAATATAGAAAAATTAAAAATTAAATATAGAAAAATTCATCCATGAATCTTCTTACTTTTACAGATAAACTACATAATTTGCAAATATGCGTGTATATATACTAGTGTTAAGGACAACCAATTTCTATCCCAACTTGTAATTTGTGTACTTTAAAATGACTCACAAGACCAATAATACTTGCCCTGAAGTATTTGCCACATTGTTAAGGTTACAGAACACCTTTGAGTGTTAATTTTGCCTAAACATTTTTTATTGGTTTCCATGAAAGCATTAGACTAGTTCTACTATCTGACCAAGTTAACGTTTGAACGAAAAATGTTGAAAACTCGCAGAGTTATTTAATAAAATACATTTCGCTGCAATAAGAAAAACATTGAAAATGTAATATTTAAATTCAATTTTCTCCAGAAGAATTTTACGGTAATTACTGATTTTCCAACGAGTTGTGCTCCTGCGGGTTTTGACCAATTTTTCTCAAATTTTCACAGGGCATAGCTAAAGACGTCAGTTTCAAAATTGTGTTCGGCTTTTTTTAAATTTTGGATATTTTAATAATAAAGAGCAATTCACTCAAACAATTCAAAAATATATTGCAGTCGTCAAAGAAATCGCCATATCAGCGGATGACGAAATAAACAAAAAATTCCGAACACAATTTTTTAGAACAACTATATTACTGTATAAAAATGATATTTTCATAAACATATCTTAAAACCAGCAGGCGCACAACTCAAAAGCGTAACGGTACCGCTATTTAAGATTTTCCTGAATAATTCTTACATTATTTTATTGTTTGTTAATTTTACAACTTTACCTTATTTTGCATACACTGGCGAATATTTGGTGAAAATTTGATACAAATCGGACAGATATTGAGCGCGCAGTAGCGATTTTCCGCAAAACGCCAAAAAGGGTGTCCTATAACCTTAACACTGGTTATCATTGTGCACTTCGATAAGGCAGGTTGTTTAGGCCACTTAGGGTTCGCAATTCTATGACGATAGCTGAGTCCTTCAGAGGCATAACTAGAGCGTTAATTGGGGGGGGAGGGGTGTATATTCATATATTCGTGTTTTGCCCGTCGAATTTCTTTTGAATTTAAGTTCATTTCAAAAGAAATTAGTCGGGCA